TCCCTTGGACTGCAAGAAGAACAAATCAGTCAATCCTAAAAGAAACCAACCCTGACTGTTCCCTGGAAGGCCAGATAACGAAACTGAAGCTCAAATACTTTGGCCACCAAATGAGAAGGGAGCCCTCACTGGAGGAGAAGACCCTGATGCTGGGAAAGATTGAAGGTCAAAGAAGACGGGGACGGCAAAGGATGGGATGGTTAGACAGAGTCATCGATGCAACGAACATGAAATTGAGCCAACTTCAGAGGACGGCGGAAGACAGGAGGGCCTAGCGTGAACTGGTCCATGGGGTCGCAAAGAGTCGGACTCGACTGTGCGACTGAACAACAACAAAAATGATAAATTAGGCATGAGTTTGTTAAACAAGGAATTGTAAGAATAATTTCCCCTCTTTTATGTTAGTTTCGTCTTTATGTATGTTTTGTCTTTGAAAATAAAAAAGTTAACGGGGGGGGGGGAAGACTAACAAATTCTGTGGCCGGGTAGGATCTTTTGTGAGTCACTGCTCACTTCGTCAGATAGAATGTGAGTCCATCTGTCTTACATATCGTGCCTAGTACCCCTCTGCATATCACACCTGATCCAGGCACGCCTGCTACTGTCTATCACCCGCTATTGTCATTTGCCTGCTAATGACATTTGGCATTTGAAATCACTCCACTTTCCATTATATAGGACAAATGGACTCGCATTCTTGCTGTGTTTGGTGTAGTGGTTAAGCGCGCGGACTCTAATCTGAGAGAACCAAGTTTGTTTCCCCACTCCTCCACTCACAGCTGCTGGATGACCTTGGGCAAGCCATAGTTCTGTCAGAGCTGTCCTTGAAAAGTGCAGTTTCTGTCAGAGCTCTCTCAGCCCCACCTACCTCACAGGGTGTCTGTTGTGGGGAGGAGAAGGGAAAGGAGTTTGTAAGCCGCTCTGAGACTCCGAGTGAAGGGTGGGGTATAAATCAAATCTCCTCTTCTTCTTCTGTATCCGAAGAAGTGAGCAGTGACTCATGAAAGCTCCTACCCTGGTGCAAATGTTGTTGGTCTTGAAGGTGCTACTGAACTCTTGATCTTTTCTAAAACCCGTGGCAGGGTGTGAGTTTTCATGAGTCACTGCTCACACCTTCAGATACAGCTAGAATGAGAGTCCATCTGTCCTTCTATCTTGGAGAGTGGAACGGTTTCAGATGCTGAATGACAATGGCAGGTGAATTATAATAGCAGGCGTGATGGGATTAGTTGTTATATGGAGATGGGTAGTAGTAGGCATGGAGAAATCAGCACTGGTAAAGGTAAAGGTAAAGGTTCCCTTGCTCGAAAGCCAGTCGAGTCCGACTCTAGGGTTGCGGTGCTCATCTCCGTTTCCAAGCTGAAGAGCCAGCGCTGTCCGAAGACGTTTCCGTGGTCATGTGGCCGGCATGACTAAACACCAAGGCGCACGGAACGCTGTTACCTTCCCACCGAAGTGGTACCTATTTATCTACTTGCAATTTCTTGCTTTCGAACTGCTAGGTTGGCAGGAGCTGGAACTAGAGACGGGAACTCACTCCGTCATGCGGCACACTCGGGTCTCGAACTACTGAACCACCGACCTTCCACAGCCTGCAGTTCAGCGTCTTAACCACTTGAGCCACCGCAGCTCAACTAGTGTTATGTCCGCTGACCGCCACTAGGCACCAGTGATTTACTGCCGAGCTTAATTTCCTAGGAACAATAGAGACTAGGCTCCTGGATTTTCCTTGGGGAACCAATAGGGACTTTGGCGGGAGGTTTAAACCCACCAATAGGATCTAGGGGTGTTCCCAGGTGCTGTATATAGTTGGCCACCCAGCCGGTGTCCTGTGTTCTAGTTGTGTACAAGTAAACCATGCTGATCACTACAACCGTCTTTGTGGTTTCTACATGCGTCTAACCCACAACACAACACTGTGCAAGTTTCTTCACAAGGTTGATGGGTTTCCATTCTGTACGGCCAAATGTGGTGCCTTCCATGGAGATAGATCAGGGTGGGTCACCGTGTGAGTCTGTCTGTAGCTGTCGAAAAGAGCAAGAGTCCAGGAGCACCTTCAAGACTAACCACATTTGGGGCAAGGGAGGAGCTTTCATGAGTCACTGCCCACTTCTTCAGATACCACGAGAGCACCTCCCCTGCCACAGTTTTGTTAGTCTTCAAGGTGCTACTGGACTCCTGCTCTTTTCTACTGCCCAAGGCAGTGACTAATAAAAACATTAAACTGAATTATCCAAGAGGGCTTTTTGCACAGGGAAACAGGGCTGCACTGTAATCATACGATTCAAGAATTAGCGTGGGGTATAAAGGGTAACAGCGTTCCGTGCGCCTTGGTGTTTAGTCATGCCAGCCACATGACCATGGAAACGTCTTCGGACAGCGCTGGCTCTTCGGCTTTGAAACGGAGATGAGCACCGCAACCCTAGAGTCGGATTCGACTGGCTTTCGAGCAAGGGAACCTTTACCTTTACCTTTATAAAGGGTTAAGGACTGCAGACTGGACCACCATGTACAGTTCATACTTTCTGTTACTGTAAGTCGGTTCCTACTATGTAGCTTTTGCTTTCATTTGATGAGTTTTAACAACAACAACAACTTTGTTTCCGGCATTTTAGGGAAACGGATAATTGATTGTTTATGGATGTTTTATGTGTGTATTTTATGTAAGCTGCCCTGAGCCTGCCTTGACGAGGAGGGCAGGGTATAAAACAAACTAGCTGAATAATTAACTAACAAACTTTACTTAACCTGCATTGTATGGCTGATCAGACAGGTCAACAACAGGTTAACTAACAAACAAACAAACAAATAATACATATACTGTGCTTCACCTCTGGTTGGTTACCAGTTTTCTACACATCTAATCCTGTTGGATAAACAAATGGAGCAGAGGTCCATGAGTGGCTGTTAAAAAGGGAAATAGAAGGGGAAGTCGTGGAAGTAGTGACAGACTTCACGTTCCTGGGATCCCAGATCACCGCAGACTGTGACAGCAGCCATGAAATTAAAAGACGCCTACTCCTTGGGAGGAAAGCGATGGCGAACCTAAACAGCATGATAAAAAGCAGAGACATCACCCTGCCAACAAACGTCCGCATGGTCAAAGCAATGGTATTCCCAGTAGTCATGTATGGCTGCGAGAGTTGGACCATAAGGAAGGCCGAGCGCCGAAGAATAGATTCTTTTGAACTATGATGCTGGAGAAGACTCTTGAGAGTCCCTTGGACTGCAAAAAGATCCAATCAGTCCATCCTAAAAGAAATCAACCCTGACTGTTCCCTGGAAGGCCAGATAATGAAACTGAAGCTCAAATCCTTTGGCCCCCCAATAAGAAGGGAGCACTCCCTGGAGAAGACCCTGATGCTGGGAAAGACTGAAGGTCAAAAGAAGACAGGGACGGCAAAGGATGAGATGGGTAGACAGTGTCATCGATGCAACAAACATGAAATTGAGCAAACTTCAGAGGATGGCGGAAGACCGGAAGGCCTGGCGTGATCTGGTCCATGGGGTCGCGAAGAGTCTGACTCGACTGTGCGACTGAACAACAACAATAGTGTATCATTATTTCATCCTAGTCAGGTATAAATATTCATTACATTCAATAAGCAATAACATTCAGTACATACAGATGGATAACTACCCGACAATTTTGCATCAGTGTTTTAAAAGTCAAGCCCCAACGGGAGTTTCTAGATTTATAAGCCCGCTTCCTTGCATGAAGTCTTCAAAAAAGGGGGACAGCCTTCTTAATAGTTGTATGGATGCTTTTTGCTGGTCCTAGTAAAGGTTCCCTTGCTCGAAAGCCAGTCAAATCCGACTCTAGGGTTGCGGTGTTCATCTCCGTTTCAAAGCCGAAGAGCCAGCGCTGTCCGAAGACGTTTCCATGGTCATGTGGCCGGCATGACTAAACACCAAGGCGCACGGAACGCTGTTCCCTTCCCACCGAAGTGGTACCTATTTATCTACTTGCAATTTCTTGCTTTCGAACTGCCAGGTTGGCAGGAGCTGGAACTAGAGATGGGAGCTCACTCCATCATGTGGCAACTTGGGTCTCGAACTGCTGAACTACTGATCTTCCACAGCCTGCAGTTCAGCGTCTTAACCACTTGAGCCATGACTATTTAAAAGACATACTTTATAAGTATAAAAATTATACAATATTACTAATAGCTCTTGGCTTCAAAGGTTTTCTTACCACATTGTGCAGCGAACATTCATGGAGGGCGGGCTCCTGTCATTCTCAAAGCTGCATAGTGATGAAATAATGATACACTAGGCACTTTACGAAAGGATGACCATAAACAGAACACATTAGTTTGTTTAAAGGTTTTTGCAGTGTATATTTATTTCTTACTAGACTCCCCTAACACTGCCGCTCGGGTTGCTTCACCTTCTTAAAAACTGGCACGCAGACGTGTCCGCAAAACAGATGTTCTTCGGGGGGCCTTGACCAGTCCCCCTTTTCAAGGGAGAGGACTGTCCAGATTCCGGGGCAGCGTCCCATCGAAGCCTCTCCTTTTTGCTTCTTCGTTCCCTGTTGTGAAACAACGGCTACATATTTTTAATTTTTTTTTTAAGAAAAGCCATCTGGCAAAACAGCCTCAGGGGGTGGATTTTGACAACAGACAACTGTGCGTGGTTTTTTGGAAGGCCGGTCCCGGACTTGCAGCAGCTTCTGCGGCGATTGAAACGTCTTTGTCAGAAGCAGTGGGGTGGCTTCAGCAAGCTGGCTGCGAGGAAAGGTATAGGTTCGGCCCTGGCACGCTTGTGAATGTGTGCATGGAGTTGGAGGGGGGGGGAGAGACTATTGCAAGAAGAGGAAGGCGTGACCTGCATGGGGAATGCCAGAGAACCCCAGACGCGCACACACACACTGCCTCTCTCTCTCTCACACACACACACAGTGTCTCTCTTGCTCTCTTTCACACACAAATCTCCCCGCAAAGATAAGCCGGACAGCTGAAGGGTTTGGAACAGCAGAAACCAACAGACTCTGCAAGCTTTGCAATACTCTCCCAGGGGATCAGAATTCCCCACAGAGCAGTGGAACCTACAGAGGGGGAAAATGAGGTGAGTTTGTGTGGGGTTTTTTGGTTTGGGGAGGAGGGGATTGTCGTGAAGGGTCGTGGCAAGGGTACACCCCCTCCCCCTCCTCCCCCTTGGAGCATGTTTGCACAAGGACGGGAAAGGAAGGGAGAGGTTTTGTTCCGATCCTGATCGATGCTCCCTCTAATCTGTGGAGACCTGTGAGCAACAATTCTACTTGGTGAGCTCCTGGCATTAAAGTTGTGAGCGCGCGATTTGGCTACTGCATAACTTAGTTTGCCCCGGAGCCATCCTTCCTGAGCGAAGACACAAATGTGTGAGTTGGAGGCTAAAGAACTGTGAGCTAGCTCACACTAACTCAGCTTAGAGGGAACACTGATTTTTGCCAGTGGCAACTGGGCAGGCTTTTTCTCCTCGGAAATTTCGCCCCTTGGTTTGTGTGAAGAGGGGAAGGGGGTCCAGAGCCGGTTTTAAGGGGAGTGCGGTTTCAAGTCAGCATGGCTTTGACTTGTCTGAGTCTAATGGTCGTTTTCATCTGGGGATCGGCCAGAATTGAGTCCAGTAGCACCTTAGAGACAAACGAGGTTTGGGGGGGCGTGAGCTTTCGATAGTCAAAGCTCTGGAGTAAAGGTTGCCCTTGCCCGAAAGCCAGTCGAATTCAACTCTAGGGGGCGGTGCTCATCTCCGTTTCCAAGCCGAACAGCCAGCGCTGTCCGAAGACTTCTCTGTGGTCATGTGGCCGGCATGACTAAATGCCAAGGCGCACGGAACGCTGGTGCCTTCCCACCTCCTTATCAACTTGCAGTTTCTTGCTTTCGAACTGCTCGGTTGGCAGGAGCTGGGGCCAGAGACGGGAGCTCACTCCGTCATGCGGCACTCGGGTCTCGAACTCCTGGACTTGAATCTAGTTCTTCTCTTGCAGAGCAACACAGCTCCCCTCCTGCAACTATATGAACGGTGGCACCTTAAAGACCACCAAGTTTTCGAGGGTATAGGCTTTCACGAGTCAATGCGATCTGAAGAAATGTGCATGGACACCAGAATTAAACTTCATTGTTCTTAAAGGTGCCACAGGACTCAGACTTTGTTCTAATGCTCCGTCACTTACAAGAGTTCCTGGAGATTTGGGGATGGAACCTGGGGGGCAAAGGGACGTCAGTGGGGTACAGTGTCACAGAGTCCACCCTCCAAAGCAGCCATTTCTTCCAGTGGAGTTTAATCGTAATAGTGGGAGGTTGGCAACCCATGTACGGCCCCTCCCATCTCTTATGTGATCTCTGTCTGGGGTTCAGTTGTAATACTGGGAGTTCTCTAGGCAGCACCTGGGGGTTGGCATCAATGTTCCCTCTAAGCTGTGGAGTCTCGTGAGCAAAAATTCCACTTTGTGAGCTTGTGGCATTAAAGTTGTGAGCGAGCGATTTGGCTGCCGCATCAATTATCTTGCTCCGGAGCTCTCCTTCCTGAGCGAAGACGAAAATGCGTGAGCCGGAGGCTGAAAAAAACCCCTGTGAGCTAGCTCACACTCACTCAGCTTACAGGGAAGACTGGTTGGCGGCAGCGTGGGCACGTGTAGCGATGCGTCTCCCCGCGCAACGCAGCCGGCTGGCATTCGGGAAGAGTCCGCCTCGCGTGACTCCTGCGGCAGAGAATCCAAAATGCTTTTCTCCATTGGCTGCCGGTGTTCAATCTGTGGCGGCCACAGGAGCGGTCCACGCAGGGCACCACGTTCAGGAGAGGCTGCTTGCTCTCCACGTGGGTACGTAGGATTCCATCTTATTTACGGAACCACCAAGCCCACGCATTTCTAAAGGCCGCCTAAAAGAGAAATGACAAAAAACGAGCGACTCTGACAGACTCCTCCGCTAGAAGCCGTTGAAGAGGAGTGATCTGGAGCCGGCCTGAATGACTGGATCTAGCAGTCCTTCTGCAAAGCATTCTGCACATATGTTTCAATCAGTGTGCAGGGAAAGGAACTTCATGGATCAACCCACACTTAGAGTTGCCAACCTTCAGGTCGTGGCGGGACTACGGAAGGTGGACTCTATGTCAGGGGTGTCGAACTCATTTGTTATGAGGGCCAGATCTGACATAAATGCGATCTTGTCGGGTCGGGCCGGGCCACGTGTGTCATAAAATGTAATGCCAGGGAGCGGAGACATAGACTTTATAAAGGACACAAACACAAAGGGGGTTTTTTTTACTTAAAATAAAAAGCATGCTCGAAACATTAGCTCTGTAAGCTACTTTGGATTTATTGATGTTCACCACAGAAACCTCATGATCAGAGTCAGGGGCCATTTCGTAGACAAAGAGAAGCAGGAGCTCATTAGCATAACTCATTAGCATAACTCATTTGCATATGCCACACCCCCTGACATCACCGGAAGTGTGTCAGAAGGCAACACCCACCGCTCAGGCTCCACTGGACTGTTTTGGATTGCTAGCTATTGGGGGGGAGGGACGTACAGATCTGTCCGCACAGAGGAAGGAGAGTTCGTACCTGAATAAAACTTGGTCTTAAAGGTGCCACTGGACTGTTTTGGATTGCTATAAGAACATAAGAGACGCCAATGTTGGATCAGGCCAAAGGCCCATCCAGTTCAACCTTCTGTATCACACAGTGGCCAGAAATACCAGTGCCATCAGGAGGTCCACCAGTGGGGCTAAGTGCTAGCTATTCGGGGGGGGGGATGTGCAGATCTGTCCTCACAGAGGAGGGAGAGCTTGTACCTGAATAAAACTTGGTCTCAAAGGTGCCACTGGACCGTTTTGGATTGCTAGCAATTGGGGGTGGGGAACGTGCAGATCTGTCCTCGCAGAGGAGGGAGAGCTTATACCTGAATAAAACTTGGTCTTAAAGGTACCACTGGACTGTTTTGTACCGGGGGGGGGGCTCTGCAACTTACCTGGCTGCTTCTTGCTCTGACTGAGGGCTGCTGGGAGCAGGGGGTGGGGCTTGTTGCATGTGCCCGCCCCCTGGGCTCTTTACTGCTGGAGCTCCACTCCTGTGCGCTCCTGCAGGAAATGACCCCTGTTCAGAGTTCTGAGCCTAGGACCCAGGTTAGAACATGAAATGGCTGAGCGATTCAGAGAGTGGCGAAGCAAGCGATGATGCGGCAGCAGCGGCAGAACTGGAAGCAGGAGATGGCCAGTTCCACTCTGGGGGCCTGACGGAAGCCCTCCGGGGGCCTGATCCGCCCCCCAGGCCACATTTGACACCCCTACTCTATGGCATCCCTCCCTTCCCCCAAACCCCGCCTTTTTCAGGCTCCACCCCCAAAGTCTCCAGGAATTCCCCAACCCATAGCTGGCAACCCAACCTGCACCCTCGATTCCTCTCACTTCCCCTGCAAAATAAGGTACACACGGAATAGACCGACGGCCTCCTGGGCTGTATAAAGTTCATCCTCCTGCCGAAAGGATTCTCCTGTTTCCTGACGGAGGTTCTGTGTTGACAAGAAATCCAAGAGGTGTCTTTTGGCCGGCACTGTGACTTCACGGCAGGAGAACTTCACCTGTTGGATCTCTGCCAGCCCTGCCAGGGGGAAAAAGAGAGGCAGGTCCACGTAGGGAAACTCCACGTGTGTCCAAGGTTGCCAGCTCCCAGGCGAGACCTGGAGGTCTCCCAGAATTGCGACTGATCTCCTGCGGAGATCCTTTGTAGAAAAATGACTGCTTCAGAGGGTGGAGTCTATAGCATTATCAGAGGTCATTTCGGGGGGGATCAAGGGGATCGCAGTTCCCCCGGGTGAGGTACGGGGGGCGGGGCACATGACAAAGCCCCGCCCCCTGCTTCCGGCCGCCCCTCTTCCGGCCCTCATTCAGCCAGGAGGAGGCAGGAGAAGAGGGAGGGTAAGTTGCTTCCTCCCTGCCTCTCCCCACCCCTGCCTGCCTGGGGCCAGGGAGGGCCTTTGCAGGGCTTCCTTGCACTCCCGCCGGCCTTGCAGGTCCACCGCCGGGCACCTCATGGGGCTCGGCAGTGGAGCTCCAAGGCTGGTGGCGGCGGCCGGGACTGTTGGGGGCGGGGTGTGTGGCCTTATGACACACTTCTGGTGATGTCAGGGGGTGTGGCATATGCT